ACCTTCCCCAACCAAACTTCCCAGTTCTTGAGGCTTACTTTGTTAAAGATTTCAAACAACTCGCTTGAAGGTGTGTTACCAACTATGTTAGGGACATACCTCGAACTTAAAACAATTGATCTTAGCATTAACCAACTAAGTGGTACTCTCCTTCCCAGCCTTTTCAACTCTACCAAATTGACTGATATTAACGTTTCTTTCAACAAATTTACCGGTAGTGTACCTATCATGGCATTTAACTCAGAGAATCTTAGCTTGGTTTCTCTAGATGTTTCACATAATGCATTAGCTGGTCCGTTGCCTCCGGGGCTGGACAAGTTCCCGGACATGGTAAATCTGGATCTCTCTGATAACAAATTTGAAGGTGGCCTTCCTAATGATCTCTCAGAGAAATTGGAATTTTTAAATGTGGCTAATAACAATTTTTCTGGACCTGTTCCACAAAATTTATGGAGGTTTCCTGACTCCTCATTCCATCCGGGGAATCCCTTGCTTGTACTTCCAAAGCATGCTGAAGCTCCTTCAGAGGGAGATTCAACTTTAAGCTTGAGAAGTCATGGTTCTCGCATGAAATCTACCATCAGGGCTGCCCTCATTGCTGGGCTGATCTGTGGTGTATCTGTTATAGCTTTGTTGACATTAATAATCTACCACAAGGCCCATCAGCGAGATGGTGGGGAGGACAATATGAAAGGAACCAAGGAAAAGAAAGGTATGAAACTATCCTTCTTCTAAATAGACAGGTGATCAGATCAACTGATACTATCATACTAATGCCTTTTCATTTCCACAGGTTTGTCTTTATCTGATATAGAATGTGGACAAGACACTAGAGAACACAGCGTGCCAGTATCAACGGTTCAAAATGAGTCATTATCTTCGTCTGTATCTGTCATGTCATCTGCCAATCTCTCGCCTTCTAAGGTTCAAGATCAATCCAAAAGCCCAAAATCTCTCAGGGTTTCTTCTCCTGATAAACTGGCTGGAGATTTGCATCTACTAGATAACGCCTTGAAGGTCACTGCTGAAGAATTATCATGTGCTCCTGCCGAAGCTGTGGGCAGAAGTTGTCATGGAACATTGTATAAAGCTACGCTTGGTTCAGGCCAAGTACTTGCTGTCAAATGGCTTAAGGAAGGGATAGTGAAAGGCAAGAAGGAATTTGCTAGAGAAGCTAAGAAACTGGGGAGTATTAGGCATCCTAATTTAGTTTCTCTACTGGGTTACTACTGGGGTCCCAAGGAGCATGAGCGGCTTCTCATATCGAATTACACCGATGCCCCATGTTTAGCTCTTTATCTTCTTCGAAAAGGTCAGTCTCCCCTGTCTACCTATAGAGTATATCACCTGCATCTATTTCTGTAGCTTTTCTGATTTTTATTTGGTGCTGAAATCGTGATCCAGTTTTACCAAAGAAAATTAGTAGTACTCCTTCAATGAAATCAAACATAATGGACCGTGAATGCACAACTTTGAATATGTATATTGAAATTGTAGTTGTCAAGATTGCTCATACCTGATATGCTGAAGTTTAATCACCATCTTGCCACTTGATATCCATTTCGGTGCCTCAAGTGTACTTTTCTTCGAAAAGATTTTCTAGCTTGCTGGTTGAATATGTATCTGAGACTATTAAGTATTAATACACATTTCACATAGCAACTTTCATGGAATTTATAACTGGAGCTATCTTCCAAAATCTGAACTTTTTCAATTCATATATATATTAGCAATGTTAGAATTACACATAGCAGAAAAGATACACACCTTTTTTTTGCTTTCATGATAATACTAAAAGGTAAAACAGTTTTGCCTTGGTTAATTGTGGCTTGATGGTGATAGTGGGAGAGTGAAAAGTCGAAAAGAGGATTCCTCTCTTCTTTTTCTCATTCAAAACTGTGCATGAGAATTTTATCTCACGTGGCTCGTTTTGTATGGATTACTTCGGTTGGGCTTGGTTGATGTCGTTTTGATAAGGGCATCTCCTGGTGCACTAATTAGAGACTGCTACTTTGAAGCCTACTTACTGCATATAGCACTGTACTTTGCTTTCTAGTTTTGAGTGGTGATATGGATGTCGGTTTCATTTTTTGATGTATGCAGATGCAGAACGCTGTAAGCTACATCCTTTATCTCTAGATGATCGACTCAAGATCTCTGTAGATGTTGCTCGTTGTCTAAACTACCTTCACCATGAAAGTGCCATACCTCATGGCAACCTGAAATCCACAAATGTACTTATAGACACGTCTAACGTGAATGCCCTACTTACCGACTATAGTCTTCATAGATTGATGACATCTGCTGGAACAGCTGAGCAGGTTCTAAATGCCGGTGTACTCGGTTATCGTCCTCCTGAATTCGCGAGTACAAGTAAACCTTGTCCGTCTTTGAAAAGTGACGTCTACGCTTTTGGTGTTATCTTGTTGGAACTTTTGACAGGAAGAAGTTCTGCAGAAATTGTTCCTGGGAACTCAGAGGTGCTGGATTTAACCGAATGGGCGAGATTGTTGGCCTTTCAAGACCGTTCAATCGAGTGCTTCGATCCATTCTTACTGGGAAAGCAAAGCAACGACGACGACATGCATACGATTCTTGATAGCATGCTTCAGGTTGCACTGAGGTGCATTTTGCCAGCTGATGAAAGGCCTGATATGAAATCGATTTTCGAGCAACTTTGCTCGATCGCGCGATAACACAAGTTGGAGGGAGAGGTAAAATTTGAAATACTATGTAGTTTGTAGATTTGTATGTTAAAAGTAGATATTTCATTCATGTTCCATTTTTCATTCAATTGTTTTAGAAACAAAATTCATTAAGTGATGAATGATGTTGTATTCTTCACATTTATTGACAAGAAATAAAATTTTCTTGTATGTCATTCTCATCAAAAGTTATGTTCTTTTTCTCATAATCATGAAGAATGTCGCTCCCTCACGAGCGATTTTGCCTTTTTGGTTTGATAAAAAATTACTATGTCGTTTATGCATTTTGAAGGAAAAAATTTATCCTTTTGGCTCCGAAATCTTTTATAATTCATTATTGACGTAATATTTAACGTAAAGTTAAACTAGATGTTTAAAAAGTTTAATATCACCAAAATTATATTTTAAAATTTTCAAATTCTATATTTCAAGAAGTTAAAATGATGGACCAATTTAATACATGAACATTTTCTTTATCAAATTGTTTAGGGAAAAGGGACAAATATATTTTCATACTATCGTAAATGATCTTCCGTCATATTTTTGGAAAATTGGTGCCTCTTCTGTCCAAAACTAGAGCATATATGCCCTTCACATGAACGGAACACTAAAGAGGGGTTTGACACAATTTATCCGTCGAATCAGTGAATAAGATTATAACACGTGTATGCCGTTACTATAACAAGTATATATGCTCTAGTTTTTGGACGGTAAGAATACCAATGTCTAAAAAGTATGATGTATAATAGTTACATATCATCACTTACGATAATTTAGGATATATTTATTCTTTTTCTAATTATTTATTATATATTTTAAATAAGTATTTATCTGATATGTTATTTCAACCTCTTGAAATAAATAATAAGAAGATTGAAGTTTAAGGTTTTAATTAAAAAGTGGATTTTAAATTTTTTTCATATAGAACTTCAAATATATTCTATGATCAAATATCATTTTTAATTCAAATTCAAATATCTCGTAAAATATTAATTTATTCATGTCCAACATTTTATTTATTTGATAGATTTTTCTTTTGTTTGTTATCTCATACGCTACGTGACAATATTTTTTTATGAGAAAATATTAGCTGTCAATATTTAAGAAAGCCTTACTCTTTGAACATTTCTCCTTATCCTTTAATCACTAATTTTTTTTTTTCACCAATATTCGATATTTATAGCAAAGTTTATTAATTAAATTATCAAAAGTTTTATTTTAAAATGAAATATTTTTTTTTTTACTTAAAATGACTTTATTTTTCATATTCAATATTCGATATTTATAGCAAAGTTTATTAATTAAATTATCGAAAGTTTTAATTTGAAATGAAATATTTTTTTTACTTAAAATGACTTTATTTTCCATATTCAAATTTGAAATTACGATATTAATATATATAATACTTACCATTTTTAATTTTTTTTTCTCAATTAATTATTTCATGTGTTTCTTGTTTGAAATATTTATGTTTTCCTCTCAATTTTAAATAAGCTTTTACTATTTCAATTTATTTTCTTTTCACCAAAACTCCATTTGTTCACCGCTGCACAACAATGATGTAATAAATTCAACACACAAAGTGAGAAATAGTCCACTAATTAATTAATATTGGAAAAATTGACTTAGTGATTTAATGTCATAAAAAAATAATAATTGATTCATAATATGAGACTAAAAGACAGAAATGTTATTTTTGATAAACGAGCGATCATATTATATATGCTTCACAAAAGTCGTAGATTTCTTACGAGTTCTCATAAGTCAATCGCGACTTGGATGGATGTTTGGCATTTGATGCGTTATTTTCAAAGTTTAATTTGGATAATCAATAATTAAAAATAGATATTAGTTACGAACTTCAATTCAGTACGATAAATCATTTCGACTTGATTGAATAATTCAATTTTTAGCGATTTATATTCATGCTAATTGTAATCTCACATATTAATCCCTACATGTGCTTGTAATTTGTGAGATTATAGCTTGCTAAGGCGATAATTAATAATTGATCTTAAAAGATAATTCACGACACTAAAATCGAGACATAATCCAAACTTTTACATGAGGTTTTTTGTTTTTTTTGCAATGAGCGAAATTCCAACGTAGCGATATTTCGTAAAGAACTAAAGATAAATATAATTTTATTATTACTCCGACACTCTCGTCGTAACGAAAAATTAAGAGTGTTTACAGTTGTATCCTTCAAAAATATTGCGTGTAAAGTGACTAATCACGCGTTTTTCCTTTCAAAATATTTACACGCACTACTATAAATATAAATACAACGCATTACACCTTCACAATACATACGCCTCCTTTTCTGATTTTCAGTTACACTATGGCTGATCGCGTACATCCTCGAGATTCATCGCCGGCGAGTTCACCGATTTCGTCAAAAAACTCCGGCGGAGTAGCTACGGGAACTCAGACAAAGCATGTGCTGCCGTCGCCGGGAACGTATGTTGTTCAAGTACCAAAAGATCAAATCTATCGGTATCCTCCACCGGGGAATTCTCGACGTTACGAAGCTTTGAGAAAACGAAAGCCTCGTCGGAGCTGCTGTTGCCGGTGCGTTTGCTATACTTTATCTCTCCTTCTAATTCTCATTATCGCACTTGGAATCACTGCTGCTGTTGTCTACCTCGTCTTCCGTCCTGAAGCTCCAAAATACACTATCTCCGACGTCGCGATTAAGAATTTCAACTTAACTTCGTCGTCTCCGGTATCGCCGGAATTCGACGTTACTATCCGAGCTGAAAATCCTAACAATAAGATCGGAATTTACTACCGGAAAGGAAGCTCTGTCACCGTATTCTACTCCGATGTCCGTCTCTCTAACGGCGAGTTGCCGGAGTTCTATCAGCCTTCGACTAACATAACTGTTTTTCAGACGCCGCTAAAAGGATCAAACGTCTTGCTTGGTAACGCCGTTAAAACGGCGTTAAGGAATGAACAGATGAAAGGAAAAGTTCCGTTTAAGGTTAACATTAAAGTTCCCGTTAAAGTTAAAGTTGGCGCCGTTAAGACGTGGGAAATCACCGTTAAGGTTAAGTGTGATGTAACGGTGAATACTTTAACGGCCAAATCAAAAATAATTTCTAAAGATTGTAAATATAGTGTTAGCCTTTGGTAGTAAATAGTGATATATCTAGGATTTTATTTTTTTTCCTTTTCCTTCTATTGGTAGTAAAAATAGTTTACATAATAAAGTGAAATTTTTATAATATACTAAAATACACGCTAGTTAGCTAAATTAGCTTCGAATTGTGTTCAATTACATATATAGTGATAATTTCGAAATAACTAATAATTGTAATGTAAAACTCACGGAGAAACAAACTTATTTTCTCAATATTCACCTATATTAACTCATTTTATCTCATGTTTACCTAAAACATTTTGAGTGCGCACAAGATAAAATCTTTATTTCTATGTCATATCGCACATCATCGCACATCATGTAGAGAAGGTAGCCTACACTAGACAAGCTGAATATGACTACTAGCTCCACCCAAAAAGCAAGTTTCTTGATTTGCGGGCGAGACCTTTAACACAGAAGTCTCAAACCTAAACCACTAGATTACGTTCGGCCAAAACACTTTAGCCTCTCATTCTAGGACTTCCCTGTGCTCGACCTATTCATTCATTAGTATTAGTAAAGGGGCTAGTTCATTGCTCCGACCAAGAATACGATTAACTCAGCATGGACTACATAATATCTTTATCATAACACCACCACCTTAGTCACAAAAAGTTTAGATCGGCTATATAAATCCCCATTTCATCATTTCAAATGATATCATCATCATAATAATAAAGGAAAAGTGAAAAACCACATTAAAATGCAAAATATTTTATGAAATTGTAACTTGAGTTCATCAAAGTAAAATGTACATGCTTTAATAGTACATTTTTTTTTTCTTGCTATCATATAAACAGCTCTCCTTATGAACTAAATCTACACCCCTTTCCTTTTCAAATATTGCCCAATTTTCACCTCCCAATATTTGCATATACAGCCACTATATAGAGCTTTTTTTATTTTCAAGATTCAACAAAAATATATCTGTAAAGCTCCAAGAAATTTATCCTTCTATTTTTTCACCTCTCCTGTACAAATGACAGAAAAAATAATCCTTCCTTTGCTATTATATATCCATTGTTGTTTCCTCAGTATCTTTTTGTCAGAACTATGTTGCTCGGACTCTCCAAAATGTTGTCGCACCTGTGCTGAATACTTCTAAAAACACACTACTTTTGAAGATCTCGAGCAAGATAGGGTCGGAATACCTTCTTATGATTGAGAATTCATGCGGAGCGCATGACCATGTTTGGCTTCTTGGATGGCCTTTTGGAGTTGAGTGAACATCTTGACAGAAGACTCTGAGAAGTTGTTTAACTGGCTCAGGAAAAAGGTCAAGCTTGTACGAAAATGATCGAAGCCGGCTATCCAGTCTTCAGGAGAATCATCTCTCAGTGGGGTCTTAAGACCTGGTTCACCATCGATTCCATGACGATGATTTCCACCCTTCCCTTGGTGCTTCTCTTGCCGAGGTAGGAGGTGAGAGATTTCGGCAGCCAACCCCTTTATAGCGTCTGAAACCTCCTTAGTAGGCAATGAATCAAACATCTCCAACCAGACAGAACAGGTGGTATAAATAGGTGGGCCGTGGTTTCTGAGTGGCACAGGCTGCTGCTTTCTTTTTCTCCTGGATGATTTTTCGCGGAGGAAGACAGATTTGTGAAGCCACTTATTTATAGCTTCCACGTATGCCTTCTGAGAGACGATCCACTTTGTAAAACTTGATGATAGAGAACTCAATTCATGTTCAAGATGGATTGCAATCTGCCGACGAGAATCTGATTGAATAAGGATCTTCATATTTCCAGGCGAATGAGCTATCGATATGATATGGAGCTGAAGCTTGTGGCAGTCGAACATAACTTCCCACATCTTCCTCAATCTGAGATAGGAAGAGGATAACCATACAGACAAATTAATAAGAAACTTCCAGCCATTAACCTTCTAAAACATCATCTTTCAAACATGTATACATTTAATGCTAACGATATTCCGATGCTAAAATATGAGCAACATTAATAACATACCCCTCAATCAACTCCTCCAATTGAGGCTGAAGTTCCTTGTCTCTTATTTCTTCAATTTTCCTAGAGATGGAATTAATTCTATGAATTGCAACTCCAATTCTCGAATGAAGATCCTTCACAACAGCACGCGTCTTGTCGATCCTCTGAGGAGTCTCTACCTTAGATTCTAGTTGTCGGAGAAGCTTACGCTTAGCATCATAATCACTTCGGATCATCTCACTAGCCTGAATTCCAAAAGGTGTTTACATTTAGTTGTACATAATATGAGAGGATGTACTAATTTAATAATAAGTATCTTAAACACCATTGATATGAGAAAAGCACCAGTAGATGCACTGTAATAAATCAACTACAATTACCTTGGAAAACGTTAATCTATACAACTGAAAGGTTCCATTTTGAGATGCATTGAATTTCAAGTCTGGGATCTCAGTATGTCTTAATTGATAAATATCAAATTCACAACACTATATATATATCTCCGATAATAATACCAGAAAGAAAATTGGTACTTCCAAGAGGACTATAATGAAAGCCAGTATGAAACTTCAACAGAAGACAAATGCCTTGGGTTTTGAAAAAAGATATATGACCGTCACTGCAAAGTCTATGTCAATATATGACCGTCACTGCAAGTCTATGTCAATATCTTGACAGACGAAAGGAACGTAAATGTGGAAAGAACTTGTTTCTTTTGACCGGTTACATCAAGAGATCAGTCAAGAGTTTCGAAAGGAAGTTCTAGTATCTTCTTACTCTACGAAGCCTAGGCCTAAAACCTAAATACCTTTTGCAAACAAAATATAGAAACTAACATTGAAGAGGTACATTCTTCATCCATAGGAATGTCATAGAATAGCAAGCCTTATGGGTTGTGTACGTATAACTAACTAGTTCACAAATATGTATGCCATTCATATAGCTAGACAAATAAACATATCAATACATTATTATACGTACATAAGAAACATCTTACCTTGACTTCGTCATATAGCTTTTTCTCCCATGCAAACAGCCGATCCAACGTAGAGGCATGACTTCCTGAGACCATACAAAAGTTATCGAAGAGATTGTTGGAAACATCCTCAATACCATCTGTGGAGTTTACACCATGCCGATTTGGGGATGAAGCATGAGATGATGTGGTACGATGCCATGTCAGGTACTTCACAGAATTTTGAGGAGGCTCTGAACAGAAAAATTAAGATGGCTGGATAAGCTTCATGTAGAAGAAAATAATGAAAAGACAGACGACAAAAACAATAAGAAAACATGATGTATGGTAAATACGCACAACCTTGCATAATAGTATCCAAAGCGAGTGAACCAAAATCAGATTAGAAGTTTAAAAAGCTCCATTTGACATACAATGGTCAGCAAGCAAGAACGATGATTAGTGTCTGGTGAATTTGGATATATGCATGGTCTCAAATTTATTAATAGATACTAAGTGCACATTTAATATTGAATTTGTATCTTAAATTGTACTGGAACATGGCATACTACCAAATAACTAAATTTAGTGTTTGAAGCAGCTTCCCTTTTTTAGTTTCTCTTTCCAAGTATAATGTTTTCTTTATTGTTTCACAGAATAGCCAAATTATGTCGCTTTCAAAGATTCTTCTGGCGGTTGACTTAAGTTGATTCTCTCTATGACCAAAGAATCTAGAATGTTCTCTTCTCCAAGCCTGAACCATGTATTACGGAAGTCGAACCCTTAGTCTCGATGTGTATGACCACATTTGACCGCATGGAGAGTAACATAAGAAGGTCGAAGATGATGAAAAAATGGCAAATGTTTCAACAGATGTCTGACTGGATGTGAGGGAAATCTAGGCTCTATATACCAGCAAAGATAAAAGTGTAACATGGAGAAATAAAATAAGATAATTAAAAGGCATGTCATATAGAACAGTTTTGAGGTCAGTAATGTCATATGGTCGTGAATGTTAGGCCTCTAACATCCTGCACATTCATAAGACGAGTGTTATAGAAAAGCAAATGCTGAGAATGATTGATGTGTGGTCATACAATGTTAAGCAAGATTAGAAGAGAAGGTTGCTTAAAATTGGTTTAGGAGACTATAGTAAACAATGTAGAGTAGAATGTAAAAAAAAAAAAGATCTAGAAAAATTAATTCAGTATTTATTTGTAGATCATCTCAAAACGAAGTTGAATCTAAATAATAATATGCACTCCTCAAGGTAAAGGAACCTTCCCATATCGTGCTTGCCTCCCATTCTCCGTACCATAAATTATAAACACCAGGACCCAAAAGTGACGTGGGGAGAAAAGAACTCAGGAATGTCTAACAAAATATCTACACTGAACCACACAGCATTCGGAAGCACTACCAACTATTAAACATGTAGAATCTGAAAATTTCACCATAGATATCTCTATATAAAGAGGCCTACCTTCAGGAATCTGGCTTGGATCATCCCCGCAAGAGAAACAAGACTTCATTAATACTCTGGTCATTGACCCACCTGCCACAGATACATCTGTCAATGATCAATTAAAGAGCTATGCAGAAAAGACTAATATGTAAAAGAGTTAAGAGAGCAACAGTTCACGTCCCAGTACTTACTTCACTCTCTTGCCTACTCAAGTATACATTAACTTGATTATATAGATATGACTGTTAATATTCTGACCTCAACCTCAGCTTGACTGCCATTTCTTACCGTATGTATCAACCAGTTAAAAGAACCACATAAAATAAGAAAATATGCAGCATATCAAGTAAGAAAGAACTTCTAGCTGATGTGCCAATGTCATGCAGGAATCCACGTGACGTAAAAAGAAAAAACCTAGAAGCTAAAACAATTTGAGGAATATGTTTAAACAATGAAACAATTAAGATGAATTTGTGTGCATTTTCTATCTGATATGAGAGAGAAAGAGAGATGACCTACTTTCTTTCCCTGGAAAAATTGGACGGAAATGGAATTTGTTCGCCTCCAACATGCGCGGAACTTCTCTTCCTGATTCAGATGCTTTTATGAAGAGATATTCAATATCTTTTATGCTAAAATAGAAGTCCTTGGGTGCAACCTTATTCTCAACATCATTTTCTTTTACTGGTGTCTTCATGTCGTTATCATCAGCAGGTCCTGAAGGTGCAGCTCTTAGTGGGGACAGATCAGGTGA